CTTGTGTACTTTCATATGGCTTCTTATGAGATGTCGGTTTTACCTCTGACAATATGCAGTTGCTGTTAAGATAGAATAAAATATTAGCTTTAGCTGCTGTGATTGTAATAGAATTGATAGATAACTTATGTTGTCCCAAATAACAATTTGCCCAGATATCAATCTGGCGCGAAAAATAATTAATTTAGGCCAAGACTCTATGGTTAACACGATCAGGTGATAGTTGATCAATCTATAGTTTTTCCTTTAGTCCTAACACTAATATAATAACCCTAAGTTACTATATAGGCAAATTTATTTTAACCCCAAAATCAGCCAATCATAATGAAGAATACCTTTAGTTTAAAATTTATATACAAAATGAGTTATCATTTTTTAAACTTACTTCGAGTCTATAATAAAGTACATAGAATATTATAATATCTTCGCATTTAATTATAAGTTAAAAAAGCTGTTTGCCTGAAAATTTATTTTCGAATTTTCCCTTACTCATTATTCAACCGATCGTTTCACTACCCATAAATACTAAATGTTTCAACAAACAGTGATAGTACTTTCTTTTACAGCCTAGAATAGTAGGTTTACTTATTTTTATTTCTTATTTATCTCATATGGGGCTAAAAAAGCTATGTGTTGAGTATTTCGTTCGTTGTTTTCATATAACGTATTATCAATAGCTCGTGTAATTGTTTATCGAAAAAAGACGCCTAAAAATTAGATCTACAAATATAATTTAAGTATGTAACATATATTGATTTACTGTATATTATTCGTGCAGCTCAAATAAAATACTAGTGCACCTAATAATCGAGTCGGATCGATTTTGAGGTACCTGGGTTTGCGAATTTTACATGATAATGGTACAATCAGTGATGTGATGGGGACCATTCAAAGTCCGAAGGTTTTTTGGTTCATGTTACACCTGATCTAGCCAATAAACATTGTCATTGATTGTTTTGATTTTTTACGTTACACTTGATCCAGGGACGATGATTTACTGCTATCACAGAAAACAGCAGAATTTTTCTAAAAAACAGCCAATCACAAAAATCAGCCTCAGTAATTGCAGAATATCGCAGAATTTAAAATTGTAACACATAATTTCAAATAATAAGTAGTTTCTCACAGAATTTTATATAATGAGCTGACCCGTCAACAAAGATAATCTAAATATAGATAGAAGATAAGCAATCTCTTTTGATTAAATATATTAATTCTCATTGTAAACCAGAAATCCGCTTGTATGTTTGTTTTTTATTATTGTTTGTGGTTTATGCATAACATAATTGTGATATAAAGGATTTAAAGTAGTTTATATGGTTTTAAAAACATAATTCAAGATTCAAAACCATAGTTCACAGTTCAAGAATCGCAGATTATAAATCTAAAATAGATATTCTTTAATTTACTTGTTATTTACAAACCTTAAAATAAGTATTTCTCAAATTACCTGTTTTTAAAGATATTGATGGGTATTAATTTTGCTATTGTTATAAAATTCTTTAATTTACTTGTTATTTACAAACCTTAAAATAAGTATTTCTTAAATTACCTATTTTTTAAAGATATCGATGGGTATTAATTTTGCTATTGCTATGAATTTTCTGATTTTGAATTAAAGTTTTAAGTAGAACAAACATGATATATAAAAAAGTTTTATACAAATAAAAAGTATAAATATTTCAAATAGCATCTTTAAAATAAAATTTTACCATGTACTGTATACAATTCAAAAATAAATTTGATATCACTCTTTGTTCTTTGAATTATAATATATATTTTTTAATCATAATGGAAACACGAATGAAAAGAATTTCTATTACTACTCATTTAAATGAATATCCTGGTGTTTTTAGAGAAGATAAAAGAGTTATATTTTGTAATTACTATAATTTGTCTGTTGAATGGAAAATTAAATCTATTATCGATGGACATTGTAATTCAAAAAGGCATCTAAAAAACAAACAAAAATATAAAAATAAAAAACAATCAAAAAAGCAAGTCACACTTGAAACTGCATCAATTGCATTTAAATCAAAAAAAGAAGTTATAGAGAATTTAATTGAAGTTTTTTTTTTGGCAAATATTCTTCTTAAAAAAGTTAACAGTCTATTTCTTTTTTTTAAAAAACATCTTAAAGAAGGTGAGATAATTTTTCAAGCTTCTACACTACACCAAATTTATTTATTCTGTATATTTAATAATCATTTCACTTTATTTCAAGACCTTTTTAATCAAAAATCTATAACAATAACAATTGATGAAACTACAGATAAATGTTCATATAATGTTGTAAATACTCTCTTTACTTTTTATCAGAATACAAAATTAATTTCAGTTGACTTTTTAGACCATATTAATAATTCAACTATTGGTGAAGTCTTATTAATTCTTTTGCTTAAATATAATATTCCATATAACTTACCAAAATTATTTGTTACAGATTCAGTGACTTATATAAAAAAATACTATCATGAAATATTAAAACCAGTTATGTCACAGTTAATCTATTCACCTTATTATGCACATATTATTAATCTTATTAGGTAAATATAAATTTAATATTTTTTTTAAAAAAAAAATTTTTATATAATAACTATATATATTTATTTAGTGATGCTTGATGAATGTTTTCTGATTTTAATCTTAAAAAGTTCTTTTATCAAAGCTTAAAGAAATATTCATTAATTCACCTGCATGTAAGGGCCATTATTTAAATTATCTTCAAATGTATGGAGTTGAAAATCTATGCAAAATTCCATTACCAAATAAAGCATATTGGAATTCATGATTTAAAATGGTATTTTATGTTAAGAAACATATTGAATATTGGGCTTCTTTTTATTTTGAAGAACATGAAAAGGATACAAGTAATAAGTCAATTACCAAAATAAATGAAATTTTATATAATATACAAAAAAAAAACACAGTTATCATTTATATTAATTTTATAACATATTATGTACAAGAATTTGTTCATGATTTAGATTTTTTCTAACAACAAAATAAATCTATATTTCCATATATTGAAGGACAACTTGAACAACTTTCATTATTTATTGAAGAAAATATTATAGTACAAGACTTTGGATATAATCTAAATAATCTTATTACACAATTTCACTTTAACTTAGAAGAGTTTAATAATGTTTTTAGATTAGCATTTGTTGCCACATATAATAAATATGTGACACACATTCCACAACATCCTGCACATTCTTTATTTCATATCTGTTGTGTTTTTGATCCACTATATATTAAAATAGGAAATCAAGTAGGTGATATTTCTTGTAAAGATGTTTGTCAATATTCAGCAATTGTTGAACTTAATAGTCCATCTCATGAACTTTTACAAGAATGAGCAATTTATTGTGGATCAGTAAATGAGGTAATTGAAGAACTAAATCTTCATGATTATTGGACAGAAATGCAATCTACTTTGCCAATTTTATCAAATATTGCGCAAGATTATATTTGGCTTCCAGTTTCTAGTTGTAGTGTAGAACACAACTTTTCTATGTATAATAATCTTTTAAATAGTGATCATCAAAATCTCTCACTTGATTCTTTAAAGCAATTAAGCATGTTATATTTTAATGACAATTGATTTTTTTTTTCTTTTTTTATGATTGTTTTGTTTTTTTTCTCAAAATAAATATAATTTTTTAAGCGCATTAAATCACAGAATTGACGCCAAACTATCACAGAATTGCACAGAAACTTACTTTATCACAGAATTGCACAGAAACTTACTTTATTATCACAGAATTTTACAGGATGTGTTAAAAAAAACAACACATTACATCACAGAATTTTTCTTAACCGAAAACAGAATTAGGCCTTAACCGCAGCAGCAAATCATCGTCCCTGACTTGATCTAGTAAAAAATACCACGCAGATCACATGCTGATGAAATCCGCTTTTGCATAATAGAAAACATAGCTAAACGCGGATTTCACCCTAACATGATCTTTATAGTGATTTACAGCGCGGGTTTTACCCTCACCTATAATAATAAGTAATAGCAATTGAAATAGATCGATCGTATAATTTAAAGATTAAAATCTTTCTAATAAAGCTATGGAATAAAAATTAATAGATGAACGTTCTCATAACGTTTACATTCCAGCGACCTAATTTATTTATCATACAAATTTTTCTCAATGTTCCGCAAGAATAAAAGTAATTTTTTACGTTTCATACAACCATGACCTCATAAGAAATGCATGTTCGGATTGAATTTTAATTTATGCGATTGTATATGCCCAATTAATCTGAGCCGTGTACTAATAAAATGAGGTCGGGTCTTTGATTAGGTTGATCAGTACGAATCCGTTTGGTCGAACGTATAGTACGCACGTACATGTTATTCCAAGATTTAGTGATTTAACGAAGCTCCATGATATAAAATGCATGAAATTGTTTGAAATCTAATGCTCTCGAGAACATCAATTTCATTAATAAATGTATGTATTAAAAGACATTGAGTCAGTTCAGATAGGATTTCAAAATCTTGGCATTGATCCTTATTGAGTATAAAGATTTCATGATGGGTAGCGCAGAAATTATGATTCATTTTATTTTTAATAGTCATTGTTATTAAATTCTCAATTCATAGAGCTGAATCATGCATTTTACTAGGGATTGGAACCTCCTAAAATTTTTATTAATCGTTTAATCGTTTAACCGTTTAATTTGGCCGGCATTAAATAACTCCGGCCATGACCAACATAAATCTGCCCTAAACTATGGAGCAATTTTTAAACAGTTAAACGGCTTCAATCCCTACATTTTATACTGCGCATCGCTGTCCTGGAAAAAGTATTAGTCTTTTGTCACCCTAAATTTGTAATGTTATGGTCATAAAAGTTGAATTGTAACACGTACTGTATGCGCATGACATAATTCTTGTAGTACAAGCAAACGCATTGTACATACTGTTACTGCATTATAAAACTCAATCAAATTGAATAAGATCTACGTACTAGTAAAACCAAAACATGATCCAGCAACCCGAAAATGAGATTATTACATTAGATTCAGAAGAATGGTTGAATAATATAAAAGATTGTAGTAAATTTCTCAATAAAAATAATTCAAAAAATTTTCAATTTAATTTCAAAAAACTTGAAAATATTGGTTCAACATCATCTAGTAAAAGTTATAAAATTTTTTTAACAAAATGCAATAAAATATTTGTTTTAAACAAGATTTTCTTTTCTCAAAAATACACGCAAAAGGATTTTATTATTGATGTAAGTTTTTAAATTAAACCATATATATTTTTGGTTTTATTCTAATATGATTTATATTTATATATATTTAGTTGAACCAATATCAGAGGATAGAATTACATGATAATATTTTGAAATTCGTTGGCATTATTGAACAAAGTACGAATAAAGTTATATTCATTCATGAATATGCTAATGATGGAACCCTTCGTCAATACTTAAAAATAAATTCAAATATAATTGACTGGCATGATAAGTTACGTCTTGCAAAACAGCTTACAAGTGCTGTAAAATGCTTACATGAAAATGATATTATTCATATGAATTTGGTAATTTTTAATATTTTTGTGTTATCTTTAACTAGGATCATAACTTTTAAATTAATTAGATTAACTATTTAGAATTCAGAAAATATTTTCGTTCACAGAGGAGATATCAAATTAAGTGAATTTAGTGCTTTTCAATATCATAAGAATGTTTCTGACATGTTCAAGTTTACGCCATATATAGATCCTCAATATTTAGAAAATCTTGAAACGTACAAGCTTAATAAAAGTTCTGATATTTATAGCATTGGAATTCTTCTTTGGGAAATTTCGAGTGGAGTCATTCCATTTAAATCTAAATTTATTCCATTTAAATCAAAATTAGCTTATGATTTTAATTTACTGAAAGCAATCATTCATGGCAAACGTGAAGTTGCAATTTTTGGAACTCCTATAAAGTATATGAAAATATATACAGGTAACTTAGAAATTTATATAATACTTGTACTTAATTCTAATAATTATTTTTTTAATATATTAAAATTTTGTTATTTACGTTTTAGAATGTTGGCAACATCATTCAGATAAGCGTCCAACTATTCAACATGTTGTTGAAGATTTAAATCGTATTAATTATGATAATTTAGAATCTGAAGAAATTATTGCAGAATCTAATAAGAAAATTAGACAAGAGAACACTACTTTAGAAGTAGAAAATTCAAATATAACTGGAATTTCGCAACATTATGTCACCCATGATGAAATAGCTAATGAATTAAAATTACTTTCATCAATTGTTACTATTCTCAACAAAACTTTAAGTGAAAACATTTTATTTGAGGATCAAAGTAATTTAGATGATGATCAAAACGATATAATACCAGAAAACAAAATAAGCGAACAAAGTGATGTTGATAGTGAACTGAAATTCCTATATGATCTCAATCAAATATTTATAACCCAAGTTAATATTCAAGGAGCTTCAAAATATACTTCAAGTTCTATAGTTTATCATATAAATAAATTTATTGGTGATAATTATCAAGTTCAATCTAAAGTTTTTTATCAATATTATAATCATCGATATAGATCTTGCTTTACAAGTATTATTGGATTTTTTTATGAACATGGAATTGGAACAGTAGTCGATTGCAATAAGGCGTTTGATATGTATAAGCAAGCTGCTGATGAATCTCATTTCACACCTAATGATTCTTTAAACGGATTGGATAATTCTCTTATTACGGATAATTTACTAAAAGACAATCGGCTTATAGGATTAATATCTCTCGGTTTATTTTATTTACACGGGAAAGGTGTTTCTGTAAATCAGCAGAAGGCGTTACAGTTATTTTTACAATCAGTTTCTATAGGTTCTAGCTTAGGAAAATGTTATGTAGCTGATTGTTATTATAATGGTTATGGTGTTATTGAAGATAAGTCTCAATCGTTTGAATGGTCCTTAAAATCTGCTGAAGAAGGAAATGCAAGAGCCCAAAATATAATTGGTCATAGTTACATAAGCGATTCTGGAATTCCTAAAGATAATGATAAGTCCTTAGAATGGTTTATTAAATCTGCTGAAAATGGAAATTATTTAGCATATTACAATCTTGGCTGTTGCTATGAATATGGTATAGGAACTTTGGTTGATAAAAAGAAAGCTTTTGAATGTTATTTGAAATCTGCTAATGGTGGAAATAGTGTAGGACAATATAGTCTTGGTAATTGTTATCAATATGCCATAGGCACCACTAAAAATTTAACTAAAGCCTTCAATTGGTACGTAAAATCTGCTAAAATAGGTTGCAGTTTAGGACAGAACAGTCTTGGCTATTGTTATGAATTTGGAATTGGAACTTTTACAAATCAAAAGAAAGCTTTTGAATGGTACATGAAATCTGCTGAAAGTGGAAATAGTTTAGGACAACATAATGTTGGTGACTGTTACCGGTATGGTATAGGAACTTTAACACATGAAAGATTGGCTTTTGAATGGTATCTGAAATCTGCTGAGGGCGGTTGTGGTTCTGGACAAAATAATCTTGGCGATTGTTATCGATATGGAATAGGAACCGTTGTAAATAAAGATTTAGCCTTTAAATGGTATAAGAAATCAGCTGAAGATGGAAATAGCTCAGGACAGCATAATCTTGGTTATTGTTATAAATATGGCATAGGAACTTGTATAGACGAAAAAAAGGCGTTTGAATGGTATATGAAATCTGTTAATGTTAATATTGAGCTACCTGTCAATGCTTCCGCCAACGAAACTGCTAATGTCGAACCTATTATTATCGGCGGATCTGCTAATATTAATGTAAGCGAAATCGAGTTTGCTAATGTTGTTATCAATAGAATAGTCTCGCATACAAATTTTGAGCATATATACTTAGAAAATTACAATAATGATTGTGATCCGGCTCATTTCATCGAAAATAAATTAACTGATAGTACAATTCACCGACAAGTTTTTTTTGTTGGCGAAATGACTGTCGGTAAATTTTATCTTCGGTTAAAATGAAATTGATTGTCGGGAATTGATTTTCGATGAAATGAACGGAGCCAAATGATTATATCAAAGAATTTCAGCTTAACCCTATAGAATATGAGAACATAATTGAGTGGATTCCTTTTCATAGATAAGATAATATTCAAAATTGGTTAAGACTAGTATTTACTATACTTACTATATTCTTCAATTTGATAGATCAAGCACACTGTGTTTATAGCATGGACTGGTTCAATGACTCAGGATGAATTAAAAGCTTTATTTAATAGTGATGATGTTCATATCAATAAATCTTTTTAGCTTGTCACTTAGTTATAAAATTTTATATAACCTTATTAATATTTTTTAACTTATTTAGGTTGAAGAGATTCGATTTCTTCCAAATAAACAATTTGCCCATGTGGATTTTAAAACAGAGGCCGCATTGAGGAAAGCTTTAAATCTTAATGGAGAGGTGAATAGTTATTATTATCAGTTTATGTGTAGTTTATTTATTTAATGGATATGTTTATTACATAGGTAAAGTCACAAGAACAAGGAATATTACGAGTAGAGTTGGGAAGACCTAGGGGCTATAAAATCTATGACTGATCAAACAGGCAATAATTCTTTATAGCCGGGTATTATAGGTTTTAAATATTGGTTAGTGCGTAATAAAACCCGAAGATATAACTTCATAATATTTGTACCACTACATCATGTAATTTTATCTTGTTTTCTGCAACTAATAATTTATAAACAAAATACAAATTTGAATTTTATTTAGTTGTTTTGTGACAGTTGTATTTTAGTCTTTTTTAAATATAATGCAAATAATTTTTTAAAAATAAACAATGTTTAAAAAGTGTTTGAATAAAATAGTATATTTAAGTCTAAAAATAAACAATTATTTAAAAGCTAATTGTATAAATTTATGTAGCAAAAATGGTAATAGGCAAACCAATTACCGTATTGTCTGTACGCAAAATCTTGGAATTGAGTGACTTATTCATCATTTAAAACTATTATCTAAATTTACTTTATAAATAAAAAAAACTGATAAATGAGCGCATACATCTGTAAAATCAAAGATGCAATAACAAACAATAATAAAATATTTGTTTCGGCACAAAAATTAGTGACCCAATATAAATTTAAATGCCTTGATGCTAAATATTTGATAATTTCCATTTTTTTTCATCGAATTTTTTATCGGGCTGATAAAATGATACGTCAAAGACTTAATCGAAAGAATTTGTCGGGCACTAAATTATGTTTCGTAGATTTTGCAGGGCCAAAAAAGAATTTTGAGTCGGATTCATTGGAACTGAGTGACGCTAGCTTAGAAAAATTATCAGTCAGAAATTAACTTCATCAATAGGTTTTTAGGCTCAGTCACTGAAATTCAAACCAATGTTCAGATTGTAAGTACTATCGACTTCTTTTATAAATAGTCATTTTTTTATACCAGGAATGGATTGCAATGAAGAATATGGTTTGCCAGTGACTGAAATGGTGTCTGCATAGATTTCTCACGTTCCTGGCTTTACGCAACTGCTTGCGCAATTACTTATTAACTATAAATATTACAGAAGATTCCATCACTAGGTATGAAAGCCTACACCCTTAGTCTCACGTTAGCATTGGTGTTATTCAAACAAAGTACTATTTAACACTCTTTTTAAAGTCCTTTCTCCCATTGAACTTATTCTCTATCAGTTTCTCGCTTATATTTGGCATTAGAAGAAATTTATCTCCCATTTAGAGTTCATCTGACACGTAATTATGATTCTTCTGTATTACAGGTTTCGTATCCAATTCGTAAACCCTTATCAAGACTGGACCTTTTTCGAATATTTACTAATTGATTTTTTTATGTGGAGTGGGTACGTTATTGATAGGTGTACTGCGAAACCTGTAAGAAAGAAATGATAGATGTGAAGAATTTTCATGCAATTCTTAGCTTGTGATGTGTACTAACCAACATTCATTGGATTAACCCAAAAGGGTATATGTATTTACAAACGGATATTACGATAATTATTGTTCCAAAACTATACCAGTATAATCTGTTACATATTAAAGAAAATAATGAATCTGTATATAGAAAAATAGGTCTAATTTTTTTATTTACAAAAAGTCTTTATATTATATTAAAAACACCAACAAAAATGATTTGCCTCAAGCTATTTCCTCCTTCAGCAAATTTTGTATAGTATTTGAAAGCTTTCTTTTTATTTACAGAAGTTCCTATACCATGTTCATAACAATAACCAACATTATGATATCCAAGATAATTTCCTTGCTCAGCTGATTTTAAATACCAATCAAATGTCTTTTTTTCATCTTTACATGTACCTATACTATGTTCATAGCTATATCCAACTTTAATTTGTGCTCTTGCATATCCTTCTTCTGCAGATTTTAAGTACCAATAAAATGGGATTTGTTCATTATAATAATAATTAAAGTAGTCACCAACATAGTATTTTCCTAAACTAGATCCTCTGATAGCAGATCTTAAAAATAATTGATAAGCTTTTTTTCTATTAATTATAATACCTTTTCCATCTATATAAAGTAAACCAAGAGATATTAATCTAATAAGTTGATTTTCTTTTAATAAATTTTCGCTTAACAAGCTATTTGATAAAAGAAAATGTCTGTTTTGATTTACAAAATTAGTTGAACAAAGATCTTTAGATGCTTCCTCATACATATTAAATGCTTTATGATAATTTACAGTTGTTCCAATTCTATATTCATGAAAGAAACTGATAATACTTATAAAATAAGATCTATCTTGATGATTATAATATTGATTAAAAATTTCATGTTGATTTTTGTTATTATCATCTATAAATTTTTTTATATAATAAATTATAAAACATGTACTTTTTTTTGAGATACCTTGAATATTGAATTGAGTTATAAATAATTGATTCAAATTGTAAAGAAATAAATTTTCAAAGCTAGTAGAATTTGAAGAAAGGAATGTTTTTGGAAGTATATTTAAAGTAGAATTTAAATAAAATTTGCTGATTTGGTTTGCTTCTTTAAGAGATGAAATGGCTGAAGAGATTAATTCTAATTCCTTCACTGTTTCATTATATAAATCAGTACAGTGTTTTATTAAATCTGTAGTATTTAAACTTTTTGATTCTAATGTTAGTTTATCATATTCTATAATCATATTATTTCTGGTAAAAATCTCTAACATCAATTAGGTCACTATAGTCAATATTATTTAAATCTTTAAAAGTGCATTGAATAGTTGGACGTTAATTTGAATTATTCTGTCAGCATTCTGAAAAGTAAACACCGCAATTATTAGTATTATATAATTTTAAATCACATTATATTTTATGTTGGAAAAGCTACTAAACAGACTCTTTTTTTTAGTAATACAAAATATACGAATAATAAATTATTTTTACCTGCATATATTTTCATGTATTTTTTAGGTGTCCCAAATACAATGACTTCACACCTACCATGAATAATTGCACTCAATAAATTAAAACTATAAGGTAACTCCAATTTGAATGGAACGGATCTGCTTGAAATTTCCCAAAGAAGAATACCAATACTATATACATCTGAGCTTTTATCAAATTTGCAGGTTTCAAGATTTCGTAAACATTGATAAATTCAAAAAAAAAATGCAAAGAAAATTAAAGGGAATACCAAATTCATATGAATAATATTATTTTCATGTAAACATTTAATAGCACTAGTAAGCTGTTTTGCAAAATGTAACTTGTCGCTCCAACTTATCGTGTTAAAATTTTGATTTAAATATTGACGAAGAGTACCACCACATGTGTATTAATGAGCAAATATGACCTTTTGCACACTTTGTTCTACGATGCCAATGAATCTTAAAATATTTTCATGTAATTCTATGTCCTGGTACTGTATTATCTATAAAAAAAGAAAAAAAATTATATATATATATATGTTGAAAATATTTATGAAAGTATTTATTACATATTGTATCTATTTTATTCTTCTATGAAAATAAAGATCTTACATTATTTACAAAATGCTTCAGCGTTGATTTTTGAGAAAAGACAATTTTGTTTAAAACCATAATAATGTTATACTTTTTTGAGAAAACTTTGTAACTATTATCGGACAACGCACGTCTTGAATGTGTGCCAGGTTGGTGGCTCAGCCAGCCTCAACTGCGCCTAAAATCACATGATATACTTAATGC